GGCGAAAAAAAATCGTTAGAAACGGTACAAAAACCGCGTTTTTCCGAACGCGTTAGTGAGCGAGAAAGAGCTGTATAAACGCGTTTTTGTTGTTCAGAACTTTAGAATAACGCGTTCTTTGACAACGCGTTTGCTAACGATCGATAAATTAACCGTTTTCCGGGGTTTTTGTTGAACGCGTTTTCTAACGACATTAAAATAGTCGTTTAAACGCGTTCTAAGGTGTCATTTCTAAACGCGTTTGCAAAAAATTCAAAGTTGTATCATTTTAACCCCGTTAGAAAACGCGTTCGACAAAAAGGCCAGAAAACGGTTAATTCAACGATCGTTAGCAAACGCGCTGTCGAAGGATGCGTTATTCTGAAGTTTTGAACGGCAAGAAACGTTCGCTAACGCGTTTCATGCTGTTTCTAACGATTTTTTTTGAAATTGAAATTTTTCGTGAAGTATTTATTTTACTGCTCTCCATCAGTTTTTTGTCAGCTAATGTAATAATAAGAGGATATGGTGGAATGAGAAAAGTTGATGATTCAAACTTCTGTGTCTTCTCTCTGTTTTTAGTTTTGGATCATTTCAAAACGCGTTAATTAACGTTTTCAATATCGTTCACATTCATCGAAAAATGCGTTTTCAAATGAATAGATAGAAAAACGCGTTTAAACGACAAAGAAAAAGCTTTGATTTTGAAACCTTTAATGCGTTTTTTGTCAATTTTTTTACCCCTGTGAAGGTATGTGCATTCGACCACTTTTATATTTCGTTTGATCGTGTCGGTTTGATATTTTGTCCAGTTTTCCCGAGTTTAAAAACAGTTTATGACATCTCCAAATTCATCTGTTCTGTTTATTAATTAAGCTTTTTTGCTATTGAGAAAGTACAAAACGCAAACAAAGCTTTGTAATATAAAATTCGTTTCCGATAGTACAACTACGTTATTTATTTTTTGTTTCTCCTCCTTAAACAGTTCGCTGTAATACTCTTTTTTTATAGCCAATGTAAGCCTTTTGTGCGAGCAATAGAATTTTACCGTTTACTTGTCTTTATGATATTGCTTTTTATTTTCATTGCTTTTTAAAAGTAATTTTTTATATAACTTTGCTTTAATTTGATTGAAACAGAAACTCTGAAAACTACAATTTGACTGAAACTCGTTGAAACAACATTAACATTGAAATTATCCATATATTTTGTGATTCTAAGTGAAACCAGTTTCAACTAAAATTTGAGCGGACGACGGTATAACAATGATACATTATAACGATAGAATCTCATCAGATACGATTGTACAATAAATTAACAGATCTTTTGAACCTGTAATTCATACTTTTATGCTAGATTTATATTTTAAAAGACTATATTTTAGATGATTACAGTCAATAATTATTAAATTAGTTCGCATGATTAATTTTTTCGATTAATAACTTTGAGTCAATAATTAGTTTCAGTATATAAATATGGTTTGTTTAATGTGCTTTTTGTCACAAGAATAGTTATATCATTTTTCTTTCATATCTTTCAGAACATTACAGAATGGTATTTACAAGGATGGATTGAAAAACTAAAGATTAATCGGCGATATTACACACCGATTCCAACAAAAAAAAAATGAAAAGTATAAATTATTTAAAAGAGTTGTACAACAAGTAAAACAAATTCTATCATTCCACGTGATAATCACCAGCCAGATTCGAACTTCTTTCTCTCATATGGAATTTTATCCGCCTCAACCACCGCGAGAATATTAATTTGAATCACCTGGATTGAGTGGATATACTCTTATTCCAGTCATTACTTTCTAAACAAAGGATAATCGTATAACTGAAGAAAAGAGAGAGCTCTGGTCGATATACTTCAGTTTTGATTTGATTCGTCGAATGGCATCTTCAATTGTGACAATCCATGGATGAGTGGATGGAAGTGAATGATGAAGGATCATGGCTGCTTTCTGAAAATATTCGAGTGCCAACTGATGCTTATTTGTGTTTTCGTGCACGAAACCAATATTTTTGTATGTGGTAGCGATAGAAGGATGAGTGGGTAGAAGAGACTTTGACTTTATTCTCAATGCCTTATCGTAATTTGACAAAGCCATAGAAGTGATTCACAAATGACGCAGATCACTACAATAATCAATACCACTCACCTTCGTATATCGTCCAGAATGTGTATTGTTACTCTCACTGCCCCACCAACGTTGTAAATGCTTCGTCCTTCGATATACCGACATTTCCGCGAATAACATGAACTTGAGTGAAGTTATGTGGTGCATAGTCATCATGTGATTCAGTTACCAATGTACAGTTTCGCATCATGAAAATATGTTTTTTGTGAAACTACTTTTCAAACTCACTCTCGCACGGCCCACATCCCCACCTCCCACGACACACTGCCAGAAATACCCAAATGTTTACTATGAAAAATTTATGGAAGAGGCGGGGTCCCGTTCGCGATATTGTCGTGTCACGCCGTACTTCATTTATCGCTGCCAAATAATTCATCTTTAAGCGAAAAGGATTCTTCTAAACTATGTATCAGAGGGTTTGCACTTTTTTCGATTGTTCGAAAACTCTCTCTCAATATACACGCTCCTGTTTCGTATGACAAGAAACCAGTGATGATATGATGAACATCGCCAAGTTACAACCGGTATCGACTAGACCGCGATGTGCCTGACGACATTTGTGCACACTTCCATATCATATTCGCCTTTCGTCGCACAAACACTGCCGATGTTCATATATATATCACCTACAGTTGGGTGATCGGTAGGAAGAACCTTCTGCTTTATCTCTAGTGACCTCTTGTAATTGTTGATTGCTAAATTCAACTTGTTTTCTCTCAAGTAGATGTTTCCCATGTTGTTGTAGACATCTCCAATACGTTCATCATTTTCATCATAACACTTCGACCATATTGACAAGGCTTTCTCATAGTTCTGCAGTGCTGATTCATTATCACCCATCACATTATAAACTCCACCAATGCTGTTGTAACTATATCCAATGTGTGGATGGTCTGGTGTTAATGTGTGGAGGTTGATGGAGAGGGATTTATTGTGATGTTCAAGGGCTAATGTGTAATCGCCTTTGTCATCAGCAATATTTCCAAGTAAGTGGTAACAGGGTGCCTCATGTGGATGATTCTGTGGTAGTTCAAGAAGTCGTTGTTGAATACATCTCTCAGCCTTCTCATATTTACCCATCTTCCGCAACAAACGTCCAAGTGAGTAGAATGTCGCTTCACCTTCTCCAATCTCCTTCTTCATATGATCTATCATCTTCTTTATCTCATGAGCATCTTTACTGCACAAGACCAACTTCACCACCCACACACCACCATCATGATCCACTTTCTCAATTCGAAAGACAGCACCGAGCATGAATAACACTTCATCTTCACTACGAAAATAACTCAGATGTGAGATAGGTGCAAATGGTGCAGTCTGCCGATGAGTGTCGGCTTCGATCACAAACAACACTTTCTCCACATCATGCGCGCCAGCTTGAGCGAAGCAGAGTGCTGCCTCTCGATCAGTACTTGTTGACAAGAACGATCGCATCGATATCAGCTCACCCACGCTCTTTCTTATCTTGTCCACTTCTTCTTTTGCCATGCCTTGACCGCGATAGACTGTGATGATGCGGTGATCACTCTGTGACTTTTGCCGAAGTTGTTTGTGGATGTCGGTGATGAGGAAGCGAAATAAAATGAGAATATCGATGTCTTGACAACGAAGCGCTTTGTTCAGCACTCTGTACAGAAAACAATCACGAGTGTACCACCAAACAGCACGCGACGAAGAGTAGTTTTCGTCAAACTCATGAAGAATAGTCAGATTAGATACATTTCCTTCGTAATTTTGTATGCAACTATCGATGAGTTGGTGCTTGGATATGTCTGATTGTGTCATGTGCAGAAAGATGTAGATTAGCAGCTGAAACCACATGAAGGACGCGTTGAGATCACTGTGCGACTCTTCTTTACTGAATATCTCAAAGGCTACTGTCTCTTCTGTTTGCTCTCGTTTCACTTGATCGGCACTAACTTTAGTGACCAGTTCGGTCATCTTCACGATCTCGCCTTTAATCTGCAACATCAATGACAGTCACAAACGAACAAACACGATGTGTAGAATGTGCTCACTTTGGTGTAGTGCTGTGACCATTTCTTGTTACTCTCTTCGTTCATGCAGTACACATAGATGGCACTCATCTGACAAAGATCATGCACTTTCGGCACCATCTCACGTCCCAGTCGACCAGAGACGATCAACACTATTTTCTCATCTTTCGTCTGTCGAATGTGGTGTACACACTCATCAGCATCTTGGAATGTCTTCAGATAGTTGATGGCGCCTCTCAGTTTGAGTTGTGCGTCGAGATTATCTTGAGTTGCATTGACACTGGCATCAAGCCAGAGTAGAGTGAATGTCTCGAAGTTGCGTGTATTTGTTCGGGATGCCGTATTTCCTGTTGGATGAGCCTGTTTGCTTTTGTAAGTCGAAGTCATGAGTGATGTAAGATGTAAGTGGTCTAATCTAGAAGAAGATTAGTGCTGAAAGCAAGTATCGTTTACTGTTACATTCGTAAAATTTATTTTGCTTAGTTTAGATGTAGCACTCACGTTGTCTAATGAGGGAACCTTTCCAGGTGTCCGACAGCTTTTTTAACGAAATGCGGTAGCTGATAAGTAATCGACCATGCTGATTTCGAATATGATAGCCGTTTTTGCCCGTAGACCTGTGAAAGTCGTTTCTGCAAAAATTAAAAGAATGCGAAGTTACTTTTCTGAAATTTTTCTTATCAATGAATGAGATCAAGTATAAAATATTCAGTTTTCTTAATTAATAGTGGCAACTTACGGCTACATTTTGACCAAATCTCAAAATATTTTAATTAACTGTTAGAACAGTAAGAGAAACCTGAACCACACGAACAGATAAAAGAAAAAATAAATCATTTTGAGCAAACCACTGGAAAAGATTTTAAAAACATGTTTGTATAGATTTCGATAGTTTCAGAATTTCTATCGTTGAGATGCTAAAAATTATCATAAAATGAACACAACGCGATGAGTGCACTTGTTTCGATGCCTCAAATAATGTATTTGTGAACATAAATTATGATTTTGGTAACAAAAGTATCAGAGTTTCGTGCAACAGACAAACAGTGCTTCCGTCCCGTCATGATAAATATCTTTTTCAAGCTAGTGACACATGGGCGTTTCCTCTTCTAGGATTTGATCAATTCTAGCAGATGTTAAAGCAATCCTATACAAACCGGGCAAACAGTGAAAAGGAACGAAGTCATCCACTAAATTTTTTTGCCCGATATAGCCAGTCGTGGCATCTATCATTGATGTATAGCTGGTTGAAAAGAGCAAAGACAGATTTTACAGACTTTTACTCTTTGCTTAGATTGAACTCCATAAAAGACGCTTCTTGAATGTGGAGTCGGCTTTATCAGTTTGAATTTTTACCCCCCTTTCCCATGCTCCACGAAATCGTCTGCTGAAATAACTATTCCACTCGATTCGCCAGAATATCGAGCTCCTTACCTACTGACTGCAATTTTTTTGAAAATACGACACATTGCTGTCTCTAGCACATCTTCTTGAGCTCAAATATTTAGTCGAATGCTTGACCAAGTAATATAGAAAGTCACGGCTAATTTTTCCAAGAAACTTCGATGATGAGCACTCACCCAAATCAATTCATCTTGTTTCCCTCGTTCGTGTCCTTCATTTTGCCACCGATCGCTCAAGATATGGCACGATCACTCAAAATGCTGACTATCAAGTGAGTGATGCAAAACTCAGGATTTATGATATTCATGGTGTGTCAACTCTTCAACGATGTGCTGTGCAATGTATGGCCAATGTCATTTGCCTGACAGCATCATATGGCAAACCGCAGCAACGGTGTTCCCTCTTCTTTGAGTTATCATCTAATGTAATACCATCTTCGACTGATTCAGCAGTCATCTCCTTTCCATTGACAGGTGAGATAAATTTACTAGGGCGAATAAAGTGTTCCACACTCTTTGTCTTGATTTATAAGTTTCTGTATCACATTACACGGCATATAATATTTTTCAGAAATTCTAAATGGAAAACTGTTTCTTGTAAAATCTTCCTGTGTACCTACTCTCCAACACACAGGTAGAATAGGATTCAGCAACGAGCCAACTATGCAAAGCTGTTATTTATGTCTGTCCTACATGCTTTACAGTATAATAGAAATTTGCTATCACTTCACATCTGATGGAACTGACGTTCTAACTTGTACAGAGAGTGAAAAAGACACCGGATAAATGTTATAATAACTATCCATTTCGATGAACAATGCACTCGGTTGTAAGTTGAATAACTCCGGTTAGGAAGCAGCCAGCTACCTGCGGTTTTCAACATTCGAAAGAGAATAATATTTTTAATACAGAAATATGAAAAGCTGATTGATCGACAATTGATCAATCAGGTGAGATTCAGATGTTGGACAGTGCCTAATGAAAAGATTCCCCGTTGGATTTGAAATTCTAATACAACCGTTCGATAGAGAAAATTGTTCTCTATCGATTTACTCAAGGCTCAGCTCTTTAGCTTGTGCTGTTCAGGACCTATAAGCATTTTCCTGAGAGCCCTGATTTCGGCCAGCTAACCCTGGATCACTCCAAACGCAGGTATCCAGCTACTTCCTGTCGGAGTTGTTCAACTTACACCCGAGTGCATTGTTCGTTGAAATGGATACTAGTCACAATTATATCTCAATGCAGTTAATGGGTGCATTAGAGAAGAATATCTTTTGGTACTATATTTTTGAGTTCTTCCTGAGCTGATAGTTTGACGAAAACTTGCCACTATTGCATCACATTACAAGAAAAAAATGAAATTATTCATTTCGTTCTTCTCCAGTGTTCTTTATTTTCCATTACATAAAACACCTGAAAATTTCTGATTAAGTTATCGACTCTACAGTAAATAAGAAACCTGAGATATTAAATATTTGTTCCTTTAATTCAAAGAATCATTAAATTATTCAGTTTCGAGGTTTAAGCAAAAAATATTTGATATCTTTTCTCCTCTCGTTTCTATAAACGTATAAGATTTCGGTTCATGCTCCCAACATAATTTTGACGACTTTCCTTAGACTTAAACCTCTAATCGGAATAATTTCATGAGTCTGTGAATTAAAGGAACAAATATTTGAGAGGAGAAAATGTGTTTTGATCACCAAAAAAGATTATCTTGATCATCAAATTTCTTTCTATTGAAATGATCGCCAAAAACTAACACTATAATATTAACACATACAATTAATAAATATATTAATCTTATATATTTGTAACCAAACATAGCAGCATAGGCAAGTCTGATCGTATGCTGCCTCTGGTGATATGAACTAAGAACTTCAGTTTCTTGTCGCTTCACTGCCGGCATGTGGTCGAGTGGTTTACTCTCACTACTCGCCATCCTCGCCACCACCTCCGTTCTTCAAGTTTTTGCACTTTTCTCGGGGATCTTTTTAAAAGTTTTCGAAAAACTCGAACTTTTTATTCTTGTTCCCAAAAAATAAATATTCGAAATCTATCGTTCTTCATGCTTAACTATTGTTGTTTTTGGTTCAAAAATATAACATTAACCATAAATTTTCTAAAAACTTCAACCGTTGAAATTAAACTTCTATTCTGTTCATATTTCTTCTTGTATAAACTTACTTCATATTCTTTTTCTTGCTTGTCCACTCATTAATTGGTAATCATTGCTAATTAATTGCTATATATTCTCCTTATAGATATTTTCTTTAATTTAAATTTTCTTTAATTGATTTGTTGATCAAAAGTGTTATTTTTTGGTGATCATTTCGACAGAAAGAAATTTGGTGATCAAAACAATCTTTTTTGGTGATAAAAAAATACATATTCGATTTGATATCTCAAGTTTCTTATTTACTGTAGAGTCGATAACTTAATCCGAAATTTGCCAGTGTTTTATGTAATGGGAAAGAAAGAATAGTGGAGAAGAACAAAATGAATAATGACCGTAGTATATTTTGGAACGTTCGCTCAGCTTCTTCTGAATTTTATCGGTCTTTTTATCTTGCAAACTCGTGCGTGCCGACGCAGCATTTCAATTATTTTTTCAGTTGGTAGCTGAGGTATTATGCATACGAGTCACTATTATACTTATGAGCTATGTTAATTTTAATGCGATGCTGGGATAATATATTTCTTTGCGAAGTAGATTTTGACTTTTCTTATTTTCTAATGGTACAATTGGCATGGATTTCATCCATAAATATGAAAATACGGCATCCCGATTTGATATTCCTTTTCTCTCTAGACGTGACTGAGAAGTATTCAAATAAGCTATACGCTTTTCATTTGAAGACCGATCAATGAAATTCAAATATCTACCGATGATTGTTGTTGTGATTGGCAGCGGATTACTGTTCGGCATCGTGATGAGTTTCGAAACCGGCATGCAGTCGTTCGGTCAGGTGACATCGCTCGAAATACAGGATCGAACCCATTATTCGATCACTACGTGCGCTCTCTATCGGCTAGCAGTCACTTATTTACAGCGTGTCAACAATGTGACCGATCTCGAGTCGAACTTTCAAGTAAATAGTGGGAATTGCAAAGATCTTCACACGGTCATCACGTCAGAACTAGCAAAATCCAACCGGAGCCGATTGTTTTATCGGCTAGCTCGTCAAGAGATCGCTGCGGCGAACATCCTCACCGACTTGCGTTATCTGTTCGTGCCATATGCTCACTTTGACGATGAAGAATTCGAACGGGGCTCGACGTTTGTGATGTTGCAACTGAGGGCGGCTCAAACGAGCCTTGCACGCCAGGAATGGGTACAGGCTCGTATGGCAATCGGCTGTGCGCTTCATTCTGTACAAGATTTCTATAGTCATACGAATTGGATTGAATTGAACATGAATGAACCCAATCGAGATTTGGCCACTGGCCGTGCTTTGGGCTCCGTAATCGATAAAAACGCGAGCGCCTGCAAAAGTTGTGACAGCACGAACCAGGATTGTATTCGAAACAATTTGATTACCGGGCGTCAGCTAACCAGTGGCTATTTTTCTTTGGTATATCCATCGCATAAGCCCACTGGCAAGTGCAGTCATGGTGGTCTGCTGGATGCCTCGGTCGGAAATGACGCATATGGTGGAGGGATCAATAAGGACAGTTCGACTGCCGCTCATGGACAGTTGCATGCTCAAGCAGCATCTGTTGCCTACACTGCTAGTGTCAAAATGCTCAACGAACTCTGGACATCGACGAATAACGATGCGTTCGGCAAGTTGCTCGGCCTCTCGAACTCGTTCAGTCTGGTATTTGTCGTCGATATCAGCAGTCGACTGGAGCCCTTGATCAACATGATTCGAATTCTAACTGATCCACTCGCGGTCCGGATACAACAAATGTTTTTCAAACCAGTCAACTATATTCTTTCGCCATTCAACGGCTCCCATTGGGGACCTATTCATACCGTCACTACATTTGATGCCTTTTCCGGCTTGATCCGAAAATTGAACGAGACCGATCTTCAAAATCCATCGCAGCACTACTATCATGCTTTGAACGAAGCACTTCAATTGTGCGAATCATACTCGTTTGTATTCATGTTCACGGATGCTCCCGGTCACGATGCCTATTCACAAGGACGTACTCAGGCATTAGCCGAACTAAAGCAGGCTAAAATTGACGTTCTATTCGTCAATAGTACGCAGTCGAGATCCGAGATAATCGACGAACTTACCCAATTTACCAGTAGGAATGGTGGTCTCTTTATGACTGTGAACACTACAAGACCGAACACGACCGGAGAATTTCTCTTTCATCGTCTTGACGAAGCATTCGGCTATGAGTGTGCTCTGTTCGAGCCGATTTCGAATGGTCGTCATGGAACGTTCATCCTTGATCAAACAGCAACGTCTCTTCGAGTCAAAGCTGTCTCATCTAGTTCATCATTCGTCTTTAGCTTGATAAATCCAGTCGGCTTGCATTTTACGTCGACTTCTCCCGCCAATCGTGACTACCTGCAAATGTTCACGATCGATGTAGCTAATAGATCGAACGTCGGTGAATGGACGTACAATTGCAGTGAAAATTGCGCTGTTGAGGTCAACGCGCAGAGTGAGTTTCGATGTCGAACCCAAGTTTATGCTCCACTAATCGATGGCCGATTTGCTCTCGTCGTGACTCCACCACTGATCAACCAAAATGGAGTGTTTGCGATCACCACTTGCGACGATTCAAACGAAGTTCTCAACAGTTCAATTCAATTGATCGGCACCAATCGTGAATTTTTGACGAATTATTCGACAGCAAGGCCGGATCTGATCACGCCGATCACGATTCCATCGGAAAGATTTCGCGTTCGCACTCGTGTTGAACATCGCGATGGGACTTTTGTCTATCGAGACGAACGAGCAGTGATCGATACGAGTCAGATTGTCATGGTTGTTCATCATCAACCATTGACCGTGATCAATAATCAAAGTCTTAATGTATCTTTTACAATTCGAAATTATGCTGCAATACCGCTGCGGGTTGAATTGCATATCGACGATGCATTGACAACTTCACAAGAGTACTCAGTCAATCAAAGTTCGACGAAAGACGCTGTAATTACTATTGATTCGAGTCGATATCGATCGATCAATCAAACGACTCGACTCGCACTACTGGTATTTGCTCTACAAGCATTCCAAACCAGTAGGAGTAATCAGGGTCCTAGTACCGCCGGAGCTCTGTTTCGACACGAACAAATCGTTCCGTTATACGTGCAAAGTGCAGCTATTCATCTTGATCCTCCAACGCATTTTGTTAATCAGGGTTCGTTTCAGTCCATTGACATTTTCATACCAACGATGCTCGCCATCATTACTCTCGTTATTCGACGTTGATGAGGACAAGTGTCAGTATGCTCTTCCTCAACATTCCGAGAACGTTGTTCAGGACGCTTGTTTTCTTCAGTTTATTTTTTTCATATTATGCAAAAAAGAGTGAACGGTTTATGGAATTACAGTTTTTAGAGTTTTTAAGGTTATAACTTTTCGTCGACTCATCGAAACATGATAAAACTCTCAGCAATAACAGAAAACGTGACGTTCTATCATATCTGAAAGTTTCATCAAGTTTGAATCGCAGAAAGGAAAGTTATTCGAAAAATATCGACTGTTACGGAATTACAAAAAGAGGAATTTTTTTGTAACACCTGTTTTTTCTAGCGCGTTTTGCTACGAATGCATCATAAATGGAAGGCTTTATCAAAGACAAAAGTTATTCAGTTTTTCACCAGCTTGCAGCAAATGAGTATAGTTTTCTGAAAGTTATACTCGGGCACGAGAAAAAGTCCAAAAAGGTGTCGTTACGGAATTACATCTTTTTTCCTTTTCTTCCGTTCGATTTTCTTTTTCGTGTTTTTTCTTACGATCGCAAAATATGCAAAATTCTTACAACTTTGATAACACTAGAGTTATTGCTTTTTTCACTTGTTGAGAAGAATCTACGTTCAATATCATCGATATCAAAGACTGTCATAAAGTGAACTTTTTGAATACTGGAAACGACTCTAACATCACCGACGAGTGTTTTCAGATCCTGTTTGGATTGATCAATTTGAGAAAGTAACACTTCACTAACAATAACTGGAATGTTTCTCGCTTCTAATAAACTCACGAAGTGGCACCACGACAAGTCTTTCCACTCATCACATCTTCATAAACCATTTACTTCGCAGAACCGCCCAGCCCGTCTACGACTTCTGATAATAAAACAAAAACAGAAGATCTGGTAAATACAAATGGACCGGCATAATTTGCGAACGATTCTAAGGTCGAGCTCAGTCTTCCTCCTTTGTCCTACAATGCCCATTTCTCAGCGCCTGTTTCTCCTGTCTCACGGGCATACTTTGCCTTTTCACCAACCTTTCCCATGGCTTGTTGCAAAGGAATGCCATGACATTAGAATGTTACATTCATGAACAATCTTTGTCAAATTTGAAAGAAACAGCGCTATTTAAACTGCGCGGCACTTTCATCAGAGAAAATAATTAATTCTTGTAAATCAGGAATTAGTGGCTGTAATTGGGTAAGTCTATGTTCTAAACATTTGGCTACTATGAACTTCTTGTGTACATATGTTGGGGAATTTGATTTTGCAGAAAAATAAGTTATAAAAAGTTTAATTTGTAACAAAATAAAAACGTGTAGATATTAGCGGTGCTAGTAGTATAGCGGTGTTGGTGGAATAGCGGTGTTACTGGTACAGCGGTGTTAGTGGTATAGTGGTATTAGCGGTGTCAGTGGTATAGCGGTATTTTTAGCTAACATGTCTCTCTAAAAAGTAGAATGTGTCTCGCATCTCTTCTCTACGAAAGAGATTAACATTAAAAATATGTTTAAACAGTCTACAAGCGATATTTATAGGGTTAGAATCACACAAAGAATGTTTAGTCAGACAACAAGAATGATCTGCCTCGATCTATTCTTCTATTGGTGTGCTGGATAAACTGAAACTGGCGGTCTATTCAGTAAGACATTCTAAACAAAGCAAATAAACATAGAATTATTAAAAGACAATCGCCACAACAGGAAATGCATCGTCGTTTCAAAGATAAGCCAATTAGAGAAAACATATAATAATGTTAATAGAGGATCAATTTGGATTTTCATTAATTAGAAATATTTTCTGTCGTACAAAACTGTTCATATATAACTAGTATTATCATGCGGGTATGTTTTTCCCAAAAATCTACTTTCATTTTAGTCGACTGACTAAAACGCCAATTTTTATTTTTGGATTTTTGGATTTTGCATTTTTAAAAGAAACTCAGTTTTCCTCGATCTTTTTCACGAACTCGACGAAACGCCTTGTTTAATTTCGCGTTCCAAAACTAGAAAATGAGATATAATTTTTAGGTGTTCTTCTCCTGGATTCGATCTTGCGACCTTTCATACGCTGTACTTCTCCAACCACATATTTTCCCATTGCACTATGTTGTGCAAAAGGAAACTACGAGTTATGATGATACATTCGTATGAAGGCCGTACACTTATGTATATATTTAAATAGTCTTTACAAGTGATCACTCACATGTTACTGGCTATACTATACATAAATGTCGACCTTATTTTTAAGGTCGACACGTAGTGTACGACGGGTACTTGACTAGCGTTGCTAGTTATAAAGCACCAAATGATGTATAACTTTCCCGAGCGGTTAGAACGGGGTATTTGTAGAGAATACTGTTTCTAGGAGAGATATAAATATATACATAAGTGTACGGCCTTCATACGAATGTATCACCATAACTCGTAGTTTCCTTTTGCACAATTTAGTGCAATGGGAAAATACGTAGTTGGAGAAGTACAGCGTATGAAAGGTCGCAAGATCGAATCCAGGAGAAGAACACCTAAAAATTGTTAAAAACGAATATCTCTCCTATAAACAGTATTCTCTAAAATGAGATATAGTGTCTCTTTTCGTTTTCCCTTGAAATGTGTAGGAAAGCGTTCTCTCACCTTATGGTTTCAGTGCGTTGAGAAAAAACGGAAAGCAGGGCGTTTTTCTAGTTTCTCGTTTCAACGCTTCAACGTAAACCGGATTAAAACGCGTTCTTTTGTTTTCTCGTTTTGGTGAGACACATCACGTACAAAATTTGGCAATAGGATAATATTACAGCTGATCGTATCTAGTTCTCCATGAAGGAAAAGTTGGTTTGTGTGATAAAGATAATTGTCGTCTAATATCTACTCTCATCGTCTTCTTCAAACTTTTAGATGCTCACTTCATGTAATGAATGCCATATGCCTTTTATACGTATAGTTGATGTAAGCGACTTTGCATCCGTCACTTTAATACTTACGCTCGCAAACTGCTGGAGAATGGAACAAACCGAGATCCAAAAAAACGGCCTGCTAACGGCCATTTAATCTCCAGTAAACGGTCACACAAAAAACGCCGCGTTAACGTTCTCAAACCGGCAAAAAAACGGTCAGTAAACAAGCCGTTAACTTGCCGTTTTAGTGCGGTTGTTTCACAGTCCAAAAATCGTCTGAAAACGTCCATGGTCAGAAAACGGTCAGTTAACGGTCACCGTTTACTGACCGCTTGCTGAACGTTTCCATACTATTTATTTACACAGAAATTCGCCATTAACCGGCTATTAACGGAGCGTTTTTAGGCCGTTTTTTAGTACTTTATGCTAGAGCAATTTTAAAATGATTTTTGAATGTTTCATGACACATAGAGTGCTTCGGAATAATTAGAGACACTCTTGGAAATTTTCGTTGTTTTTTTGCTATTCTTGCCCATTAATGGTCTATTTACTCTCAAACGCACCTCTGCATGTATGTGAAATACGGCCTAAAAAGAGCTCGTTAACTGGCCATTAACAGCTTGTTTACAGTTTGAAGCATGTAATATGTATGTGTCATGAAACATTCTAAAATTACTGTGGGATAAAGCACTGAAAAACGACCTAAAACCGGGGCGGTAATAGGTTGTTAACGGCCTGTTTACGATTTGACGAATCTAATATGTGTGTGTTTTCGTTTTTCCTCCATCATATTTTACACTATCTAGATCCACGGAAATAAACTGTATAGTACGTGAGCTTGCAAGCTTGAATAGCACTTTGATAATGTTAGTTTTCCATCCGACATGGCTATATACGTACAGCGACAGACTGGCAAACACAAGTTCTGATGTTCGAATTTCGATATTTTCAAGTAAGCAGAAAAAAATTATTGTGCTGTCAGATGATTTGTATAGTCTAGTACCTAGATTAGATCGATTAGTGAGAAAGAGTAGATTCGACAGATAAGTCAGTATGGCGAAGTCGGACGAAAATTTTTTATGAGTTAATACAAAGCCCAAGTCAAAAAAACTGCGCGCTAACCTTTCCAAAACGACAAAAAAACGGCCAGTAAATGGTAAGAAAACGCATAAACAAAAGTATTTAGTCTTCAAACTAATTGACATCTTTAATAGAAACGGCTCTACGTCGAATTTAAGTAAAATCGTCAAAAAACACTTCAAAAAAGTATACTACTTGCTCGAACTGAAATTCTATTATGGATACGAAACATTAGATGTTGTTTGATTTCTCTCATTAAAGCACCATGTTCAACAGGAAATGGAAAGATCCTCGCAGTTTTCTCCACCAGAAGTCCTACAGCTTTTTCAAATTTTGCGTTGTGATTAATCGAAAATTCCTCCTAACTAACGCCTACATAGTGCATATGATTAAAACGGACAAAATTTTGATGAAATCGAAAATCACGATGAGAAAAACAAAAATACTTTACATGTTACACTTACTTTATTTTACGAATACATCACGTGTTAATTATCCTCTGGAAAACCTCACTTGCGAACCTTTGAGAAACCGAAAACACTTCATGCTTCTCTGGTCGAAGAGAGCTTAGAAAAAGTACGAGGATAAATTGATTAATCTATAACAGTGGTGATTTTTCATTCTTTTATTCTGCGATCGTTCATTTTTCCATTTTTTTGTTCCGCTTCATATCGATCTCCTACAGTCCATGTCATCGTTCCGTAACCGCTCATCAAGTCATTCTCAAAATCTCCCTCGCATCGGTTCTTATTTGTCCAAATCATTATTCCATAACCACTCCTTTTGTCTTTACTCCAGTGTCCATCATAACGATCACCTGTGTCTCATTTAAACGTTCCATTTCCCTCTCGATTTCCATCTTTAATCTCACCTTCATAAATACTAGTGCCAAGTTTTCGTGTAACACGTTCACTTGATGGCAACCAAACGAAAGAATTGATAAGCAAAAATATGGTAACAAATAATAAAATTGTAAAAATTTTTTGTTAACCCCTTCAGGACGGGGAAGTTTTTTTGAAAAAAGGTACAAAAATTAGTTTTTAAGAATAAATTGATTCTAGTTTTCAGTCCAGTTTATTAATATGACTTTAGAGTGTGATAGTCGCGAAAACAATTCGGGATGCACAAGCCTACGTTGCAGTTTGAACATTCGTATCGGGTACGAGAGTGTTTTTTGTCTCATTTACTATTTGCTCTAGCACAGTTTGAGCGAATAACATTTAGAAGAATTTCAATGGAGATTCATCTTCATTGTCGAATACTTCTGAATTGATGCCAAACTGTGAATTAAATGGAAATATATGAGGCGTGAAATGATTAGTTCTCCAGGTTCTAGTTCGACCAGATGAATAAGCATCTTCTTCATCAGATTCGTCCATAACATCATCATCATAAAAGTTAGAGTCACTCTCAGACTCAACATTCGTATGAATTTCATTCACTTCAGTGCTTCGTTCATTTTTGAATGAATTCATAATGTACGTTTATAAAAAAAGAATAGCTGAAATGAACTAGGTTGTGATTTCGGCGATTCTTCTAATGTATCTCTCATTCATTTCAAACGCTGAATATATAAAAGTGTGAAAAGGAAAGAATTTACTAGAAGATACCATAAGAAGAGGAAAGAGTAAAAACTGAAAAATATGTATGTTCTATAGAAAAACATATGCTTCGACACGTCACAACAGAACGAAAGACTGTGGTATATACGGTGTACCACCCGTCCCGAAAGGGTTCTTAAACATTTTGTGTTATCACACTAGACAGAAATGAAACAGCCGTGATTTCACTAAAAAGTATAGCATTTATATATCCTGACATAAAATGAGAGTTAGAAAGAAAGAAACAGACAATAAAATGTATAAAATATTAGCTAGTCGGCAGTGTATTATTATTTTCGTCCACCGCATTATTGGCATATTTTTTTCCTATCTGTTGGCGTCGTTTTTCTTCCGATTTGGCGTCGATGAGAACGATTTTCTTAAACATTAACTTAAAGATACAACTCCTCTATATATAAAAGTTTAGGCACCTTTTTTTCATGCCCGATTATCACGCATACAACAAAAAGGGAAATCGATATTTTTTAAGAAAAAAATAAGGAAAACTGAGAGCAAAGGTAAGAACAATTTCTGAAAAAGTCCTATTTTTCTTTTTTTCCATATTCTTCTTGTTGGTTGTCTAAAACAATTTTTATTTGTTTTCGAAAATGATTTCATTTCATTTTTTTCTAAAGACAAATGTATATGAATGTAATTTCCTCTCATGAAACGTCCGTTATAATAATCTTGATCAATATGTAAGTCAGTACAGCAATAGGAAAGAATGCATAAATAAAGTATTTTAAGTATCAGACTGTTGCTAATTGAAATTAGTTTAGAATGCATACTATTCATAATGTGAAAGATATGTGGTGTTATCCATTTAAACGTTCATGGATACAGGTGAAAATGAACGAACCTTTTTGCTAAATCAATCTTCTGCTAGGTCGTTGAACTTTTAACTGGCGACAAACTCTACTGAGGAATTAAATACGATGTGTATTTCTCATTGTTACAGGCTCGCCCTTTCACATGTCACACGCGGTACCATCACATTCGCTCCCTTTGTTGTCCTGTTATTCTCGATATTTCTTAAAGATATACTATAAGAAATACTAGAAGAAGTTTTCCATATTTTGGGAAACTTTTCCCCAAAACAGAACACTTTGGTCTGTTTTCGGGAAAACCAGGTAATCCAAGGGAGTCTTATGGATTCCAAGGGAATCCTATGGAATCCGAAGGAAGTAAGAGCTTAGAAGACGTGTTCTTTGGTGATTGATCATTTGCCACCTTCGGTTCTATATAAAGGAGAAATCTCATTTCTTTATCAGAGACAAATGCACGTAATGGTATATACCGTTACTTAAGTGGCACAAGGCGTTCTTGAGCGGAGAGACGATAGTCATTCCAAAATTAAATTCACTAGATGCTGTGCTTGATCCATCATTGTCGGTCGTTGATTTATCTAAACTCATACGAACATCAAGAGAAGTTTTACTACTTACCGTTGAAATATTTTCAGACGAAGACTTTGTTTCACTAAAACATTATGACGGACTATAATTAACAAGATCTTCATTTATATGATAATAATTTTTTTTCTTACTTTAGAGACGTGTTATCCTCTGTATCATCAGAAGTAGATATTTGCTCATTTGATGAAGAAACTGTTGCACTCTCGTCAGATTCATTAAACACAGACGTAAAATTTAAAGAGAAAAAAGAAATTTCAAAGAGTTTACCTGTTTTTTTTGTAACGCTGTAAGATTGATCTTCAGTTTTCGATCAGGCACGTTTCGAGGCAAATTTGTCGATGATATTGAAATATATACTTCGACGGTTTCGATCAACATTTTTTTTGCCCCGCTTTTCCACTACATTCGAATTATCACACACACAACGAAGCAGAAGAAGAAAATGGATTATCCTGTCTTCGGATACCTGTTTTTTTTTGTAACGCTGTAAGATTGATCTTCAGTTTTCGATCCGGTACGTTTCGAGGCACGTGACCGAAACGTTCTTCTTTTTTCTCTTCCTACCCTTTGAAGTCTGTGTCACACTAAATTTATTAGCTTTGAACTGCGCGTGAACGCTTCGATATAGATCAATTATAATATCCGATGGTCGACCATGAGTTTTCCCTTAAAAACACTCCTTTTCATTGTGCGGAAATAACTTTCAATCGAAGCATTGGAGTGACAAATAGGATTGTATGTTGATGGTACCGTCTTTTAAATATTATTTGAATACTGATCTTCAACCAACAAACCTGTCCTTTAAGACGTTAAGCGTTAAGAGAAACTGGCGTGGAAAAAGACCTTGTCAGCCTAATAACCCAAAAAGATAAAGTGCAAGTCCTTCAAAATTCCGTTTGCGTTTGGAGCTAAGGGCATCGCATTGACATATCACAAGTTTATTAAATGTGTTCATCATCACTGCATTGTGTAACGTTATCTTCATTAAATTTAACAAGCCGGAAATTAAAAATCTGTCACTTCAATATACTTTCTGCTCAATTAGGAAATTGAAAAAAAGCTGCAAAAATAATAACTTCGGTTTCATTGCATGTCTCATCGTGTTACATAAAAAACAAAACAAAAAAATGGACCATCTACCCATCTGGTATTATCTCATGAATATTTTCACCATTCTGTTTGATCTTATTGGTCTTCTGTGTAATCTATTTATCATTCTAACTGCCACAATACATCGTCCATTACGCACAGTAACCAATTTATTAATAGCCAATACATGTACAGCTGGTATTTTATTTGCTATGGCGGATATTTCAATAGTGATTCGAGTTAATGAATTTGATCGTCTGCCAACAGGCGAATTTCCTGTTGAAAGAGATCTCTTTTGTGAAACACGAACTTATTTAGTCTTGCTGGCATCAAATGGTGTTTATCAATCATTGGCTGTACAAGCATTGAGTCGATATTTTTTTGTTATTTATCATAAAAAGAAACAATTGCAAACATTAAAAGTAAGTTTATGAGAAAGCGGTGCAAGACTGGAAGTAAACCATCTCAGAACCTATTGATTTTGTAAAGCTTGGTGGAGTTTCTGAGTTACAAGTGTCGAGAGAGCCTCACAACACCAAGTGATAAAATCAATCTCTTTTTTGCCAAGAATAAAAATGAAAATGTATAGTTTAACTGATCCAGACATGTATAATGTGCTTCAGACGATTTGACAAAAAAATGATTACGCTTCCGAATTCAAATAGAAAATGTGTTTCGATCGTAGGCTATCAATTAATGAAAAACAGTTTTGTTTTGGTTCAATACCTCCCGAGAAAGATTTCTACCATGAGACTTATTGTTTCATTTGTGCTTCGAGGTTTCGAATAATATTAACTTTTCGGTTTTAGTCGTTAATGATCCTTTGAGAGCCCATAACTCGGGAGGGTTAAGGGATTAAGCGTCTGTACTTTTAGAATTTGCTCAGTCCAACGAGCTTTACAAAATCTACATCAGATCAGCCGATTCTGAGATGCTGATCAGTTGGTCTTTATCATTTTCTCAGAATTTACTTATTTGAAAAGGTTCATATTTTGATGATTGTCGTTCAATGGGTGTTTACAATGTTGATATTAGCTCCATTCTTTCTCAAGAAAACTCTCGTCTTTGAATATTGGACATTGACATATGTTTGCGTTTTTCCAAAGAGTAGTCTGCTTATCACAGTTTATAGATCATTAGCTGGCTTGTTGATACCCGTAACATTAATTATCAGTATTTATCTTGCTGTTCTGAGATATATTCGTCAACGTGGTCGCCGACAACATCGACGTTACGAACGTGATAAACAACGTCTTGTACGTCTAATGATATTATTATCGTTATTTTCAGCTGGTGGTATCCCACTAGCTCTATTTAGTCTATTGGAATTAACTGAAGTGCTGAAACCAGCTCCGCCATATGCTAGTCGTTTAATATTTTTTATTGCATCAATAACATTTGTGTGCTATTCAATTACAAAGTTGGTGACGAATAGAGAACTGAAACAAATTATGAATAATGTTCTATTAGAGAATCGTCGTCGTTTCAGGCGAATAAATGCAGAACAATCAGAAACAAAGTTTTAAATGAAAT